TACTTACAGAAATAAATATCATTTCATCATTTCATTTCATTGGAGTCACTATATGAAACAACTGGACTAAATCTAGATACGTATTTTTTTTTCTATAAATATCAACTTTTATTCTATTAATATTTTAGTGACAGATTAAGCACACGGAATGTCGCCACCCCTATACATCTCGTGGGTGTCGTTGGAGCCGACTAAGGGACAACAGCACTGCAAAGAGAAGGAAACCTTGACACAAACCCTATACCGACCCGTCTGGCCAGCATGGAATAGTGGGCCAAAACCTCCCTTCTAAGGAGAGGCCTATGTCCAGCAGTGGACTACTATAGGCTGTTGATGTGATTCTATAGCCTATAAAAATATAATGACAATAATTGGATAACCAATGTCAATACAGTTTAAAGTCATCGATATATAACAGATTAGCTTAACTTTTTTCCATTTCCTAAAACCTAGAAAAGGTTTTATAAATCTGTTTGCGTTTGCATAGTGATGTCACTGGCGCTTATGTTACGACATGTCAGTTACGATTAATAATGAATTGTTAATCGTAACTGACATGACCACTACGATTAAAAAAAATCTAATCGCTAATTGTAACAATTAGTTAATCGTGGCGTAGATTAATTTAGCAAAAATAGTAGATGCAATCCTAATAATAGAAAATCTTTTTGTTTTTTGTATAAAGATACATATATAGTTATTATGTTTGAAGTTCTGTCATTGTCTATGATAGGCTACTTGAAGAACTGATAAAGTACGTGTGGCTTAATCTAAATGTAAATAAATAATAGTGTTGTAACATGCGTTATCCCACAGCGAATTGAATCACAAAAATGACATAGAACAGATTAAGATATAGTTATAGAGTAAAAGTTTAAAGTTGAAGCGTTACAATAATTATCTTAGAAACATTACAATAAACAGAGAACACATCGAATGGAATGACACGGTAAGTAGAGAAATGCAAGATTTGTTACTGTGACGGAAGTACGTTCGTGAAATAAATAAAATTTTAAAACTCTCACAAACTTTGACACTTTTTGTTGTTTTAAGACACATTAAAAATAGTTTAAAATGTTAACAGTTGTTGTCAACTATATACACTAATATCACTAAATATAGTAATTATTCAGAAGTACTTGCAAGGTAAGGCCTTCGTAAGACCTCGGCTCTAAAGAAAACTCAATTTTCTGAAAAAATCCGCTACAGCCGTGAGTCCTACAGATAAAATGTTGATGTAAATTTGTTTTTCTTTCCCCTACACACCCCTTTAAACTTGAATCGTAAAATATTCATTTCACTCTCAAGTATAATCACAAAAAGAAACAGATATACGCCCGTTCGTATTTGTCATGGGTGTAACTCGTACAGTACCTATAGGCGGATTAAATCTAGCGACAGCGTCACTAAAGTTGTGAAAGTGAGCCAGCTTTTGTACTATTAATTAATATAAGTAAGTATTGGTTTATATCTGTGTAATCTCTTTTTGAATACTCTTGAACTAAAATTGAAAAGTAGCAACAAAAAGTGTCAAGTTTGTCGAGTCATGTGAAAAGTGTTGGTTACACCAATGTGAACACAATGTTTAACACCCGCACGGGCATGGCACTTGGGCTCACCACAAACGATCACAATGTGGTTTAAGGCTACTTTTATATTTTATATGTTCATTCAACTACATTATAGATAGTTCAACTGAGTGGCAGTGACGCGGCAGTCGGACGACGACTGCCACACGAATGAAAGTTGTATATTTACAAGCCCACGCACACATAGGGCCGCGCGCACAACTCAGTTGAACTATCTATACGTGCTCTGACCCGCCACACTTATTATCTAAAACATTTATTTGATAATAAAACTGTCAATGATCAAATCAACAACACAAAACAAACCCAAAAGGCCTTACATATACGGAAGAGCTAATTTAAAAAAAAAACGTACCAAAAAGTTGTGATATTTAGTTTTTATACAATGCGATAATACTAGTTTTAATTTAAATATAAACTCACGATATTTAATAAGGACGATTGATTCCGACTTATTAACATATATTATTTAATTAATCAATGTTGGCATTCCGTAATAATACCAACAGAACTGTGATGAACTTTGAACAATGTTAGAGCGAGTCAGAAGCATAACCCATCCAATGTTCTTATATCGTTATTCTAATCAAAATAATTAGACTGCGCTCTTCCATAACTTTTAAAGGTCCATCCATATTGCCAAAATAACTCTGTCAAATTTATTTAAAAGAATCATTTAGGTTAAGCTCTAATTCGATCTTGCCGATTCGGTTTACTATCGATTTAGAACGATCGCCAATATTTTATCTAATCGATTGTTCAAGAAAAAACCCATAATAAGTAAGCAAAACTAAAATAAGTATTAGTTGCTAAACTGCCAAATACGATCGGTATTCATAATCTTTCTAGAAATAATACATTTCTATTATAACGTATAGAATTCCCTTTTTTTTATCAAAACTAGAAATGAGTTTTTTTTTAATATGAGACATATTTAGCAAATATTTTTGGACAGATCATACATCGTGGTCCTTCGAGCCGGATTAAAATTTTTGAATGACAATATTTGGGTGTTATTTTAGCAAGTATGGCAACATCCATTTCTACCTGTGCAACAACAATGACGCAATTCCTTCAATACTATATAACAACGAACGCATCTACACTTGTCTGAAAATTACACTAACAACGGTACATACATAAAAATATTAGATATAAACTTCATCTTAATTTACTATACTATACTGAATACGACACTTAAATACTTTCCTTAAATACGTAATCACTAACATCATTTATTACCTACCTAGTATGACACAACTAGGCCTCTATAATCGACCTTAAGCGTACGCGTCAAGGTTAATAATTCAATATATTCGTCGATGAGACTGCAAAATCGCAAAAGAGCATTGTGCAATACCGCCTATTTGCAAATGTCGCAAATTTGGACAATATAGATATAATAGTGATATTGGAATCATCATCATTGGCCTCTTACGTCTATTCCAGACGATTTAGTCACCGTTCCGTAGCCATACACCTTGTTTCGTGGCTGTGTAAGCCAATTCTAGAGAGGTTCTACCTTCACCTAAAACCATCTGTTTGTGCGTCATTTTGGAATCAATATAGTAATTAATCTAAGTTCCTATAAAATATCACACAAAGTAATCATACACAAGTTGAGTCACAAAAATGTGTACTTTTGAACAAGATAATTAATTTGTCTTCCTGCTGTGAAATTTGGAAAATATTGATTTGCAGTTTTGCATAATGCTTTTACGCACCTTTGCAATATCACTGGCGAATATGTTCACTCATTAGGTACATTGTACATATTTGAACATAACGATTTCATACATTTTGTCTAACTATTAAGCGATGGTATAACATTTAGGTACATCGAAAGCGTTAAGCGAGTTATAAATATCCTTTAAATTCTCATTGTTTATACATTTAAAACAATTATCTGTTTTGAACACTTTATACTTGTCCCTAGTGTTTGTAAGAAATTTATTTAGCTTTAACATATTTACTTTACTAAAACGACACTTCTCCTATGTGGACTTACGATCCTTTAATCCATTCGCGTTAAGAAAATAGTGACGCATCGATCCGCCTCCTGACCAATCAGGTTCCTAGCAAGGTCAGGTTGCGAGGCTGGTTCGATGCGTCATTATTTTCTAATGGCGAATGGACTATAGTATCAATTTAGATTAATAACAATTTGTTATTCAACATGGATCTGAATGTTGGACAAAGAGAATGGATGTGAGACGTCGGCATGTAACTGAAATGTGTGATATGACCAGGATGGACAAGGTTGGGAATGAATACATTAGAAGAAGTTTGAAAGTAGCGCCAGCAGATGAAAAGTTGAGGAGCGACAGGTAATCTGTAGTGAAGAAAGGTTTAGGTATGGAAATTGACGGATATAGTATACGGAAGAGTAGAGGACGACCAAAGAAGAGATAGATGGACTCCGTGAAAGAGGATATGTCTAGGAAGGCAGTAAGCAGTGAACGGACGATTGATGGAGGAGAATGGAAGAAGAAAACCCATTGAAAGCGCAAGAAGATGCTGTAAAATGTATCTTCCTCTAACTGTTCATAATTGTTTTTCTCCCATTTTCTTTTCGGGTTTAACGCTATGTGTAACATTGCAAGGGGTTTTGGGTGATCTGTTATGACCTGTCTATCTGTCTGTTGCTGATATAGCAATCGTAGTAATCGTTTTCAGACGTAACAAACGAAGAATCTAAATAAGGGTCCAATTATGTTATTAGGAGGGTTCAAAAGCGATAGACGGAAAAAGTAAACATGTTAGTTTATAGCATTAGAAAAAGTAATATTTAAAATCCATTAATTACAACTGGATTCTGTTGAATATTATTTACATTAAAATGGAGTGTACACAGTCAATGAAAACTCATATTGTCTTTAAATATCAGATACATAAAATACAAGACAAAATTCGAAATTAAACTGTCATTTTTACTTTAAACTTCTAGAATAATCTATAAGTTTAAGAATTATTAATACTTATTAGACGAACGTGAAATTGTAAGATAATATTTAACTATTTGTACTACTGAAAAGTGCTTGACAACGTCATGATAACTCTACTAGAAGGATCTCGTATTAAGTATGACGTCATTCGCACTGTGTTGCCACTTTATTATCAGTTATTAAAAAAGTGTGTTTAAAACTGAGTCGTTCAGTGTCGTCTTAGTGTAAATTCTCATCGTATCATCCAAACTTTAGTATTGTTAGACTTTAAAAGTATTGGAGATTATTCTTTTCTATTTAAAATTTGCACTGTCTTCGCCTTTTAAATTTTTGTGACGTCACACATGTCAATGTCAAGTGGCATATATCACTTAAAACAAATATTATAACGATAAAAGCAAAAGTCCACGTAATTACGATACGTCCGTCGGCCCTACACGGTGGTGTAGTAGCAGGAAGGTGATCGCTATGAGTCGGGTTGGAAGTGCGTCACGAGGAGTTTGGTGGCCTTCGCCAGGTCGTAGGCTGCGGCCCTCACTTCGTTGAGGGGGGAGGGTGCCGAACACGCCAGGGTTACTTCGTCGCAAGCCGTCCGAAGTTCGCCTAGCACTAGGTTTAACTCGCGATCTGTGTTTACCTGCAAGTAAATCGACCTGTGAATAAACTTCATTCGGCGTCTGTTTTTTTTTATCAGTCACCTGTTCCAATTATTCCCATTATGTAGTAACCGTCTAATATTTAAGTTAAGCCCTTATCGAAACGAAAAGTTGACGTATGTCGATCGGATAATTTCTTCTACTCCAGGGTGAAGTTCAGACTAAAATTTATAATGCAATGGGTGTCAACTCCGAGGTGTTCGTGCTAGAGACCGGTAGGTGGTTAATAGTAGCATGTACCCCAGTACAGTGCACGAACCTGAGGGAAGAGCGCGAGCAGCGCGCGCACGGCCTGTCGGATGATGAGGCCGCGCTGCTGCAGGCGCGGGTGCTGGTCGCGCGCGGCCGCCCACAGCTCGGAGATGGCGCGCGTCACGCTCTCGGCGCGCCGCTGCACCAGCTCCGCCGCCGGCGCCGCGCCCCCCGCACCCCCCGCACCCTGCTCCTCCGCGCACTCCGCCGACAGGCACAGCGGGGACAGCGACCGCTCCAGGCTCGACAGCGTGGTGAGCTACAGAAACGGCACCATTGAATGAGTTAAAAAGGAAACACATTTATTAAAACAAAGATCTTCCGATTCGTTGATAAATGATGAAGGAAAAAGAACCTTACCATTGATAAGTCCAATTAAAAATGAACCTTACCGATATAGCAATAAAATTCTGTTTAAATTTTCTGTTTCTGTTTTCAATACAAAACTCAAACTACTAGAACACCGCTCACCATACTATACTAAAGTTCCACGACCAACGCCCGCAATCTGCAGGTACTCTAACGCAAGAATGCCATAATTAAAGTTCGAAATAAAACATTTTTTAGAAAGATTTCGCAACCTTCAAAATTTCGACTTGCAGTTACAAATAACAATACAATATCATATATGGGAATTAGGCAGTATTTTAAGTGAAAATATTATGACGTCACAAGACCTCTTTTCGTCCGACCGTCGACACCTCACCGGGTTTAAACAGAAAGGCATTATTTCGGACTCGAACCGATTAAAACCACACAGGGTACCGCCGCCGCCGTCAGATCTTTTGTCAGGGCCTTAGGTGTATCCTTAAAAAGAAATCCCTATGAACAATGTTATAGGACCCTATTTATAATTAATTTATAGGACCCCATACGAAATGTACACTTGGTTTAGTATTAACAGTGAATAGGTCGTATATTAATAAACATCTAAATAGTTAAGGCGGTTAAACTAATTTGGATTATTCTAGGCACTACAACTGAATAACTTTAATTTTAGTATGAGCTATAATGATCACCATGAGAAGATAGAAGAGACCAAAAATTTTGGCTTTAAATCGCTTAAAAAAGTTCAATTGAATAACTTTATACTAAAATTTCATGACAGTGTTCAATCATGGTCCGTGTAGTGACGGATTAAGAATACAGAGTGTCACCACCCCTATTCATCCCGTGGGTGTCGTAAGAGCCGACTAAGAGAAAAACTATACAGAACAACAGAACCGCAGAGAGAAGGAAAACTTGACACAAACCCTATACCGATCCGTCTGGCCAGCGTTGTATAGTAGGCCAAAACCCTCCTTTCTAAGGAGAGGCCCATGTCCAGCAATGGACTATTAAAGGCTGTTGATGTGATGATGTGATACTAATCGAATTTCATCCATGACTTACAATTTGGACTTAGACTTTAATATTTAGTTTTATATCATAGGCTAGCATAGCTTTAACTGTTATAGTTTTTATTAATTTTCATACCAAGACAGTTCAAAATATATTTTGGAAAAAATGTGACTGATGTAGCCAATTTCATCTATATTTTTTAAACTGGTAACACAACTCGTTAATTTTTTTACTGTTTGCCACACTTCTACATTTAACCTTTAAGTGTCCCATATTTAAAAAAATTATCTTTATGTATTACTAATATAACGTAATAGATATGAGACTAACACATAATAAAAAACTGTCGCAATAAATAGCACAGACTAAAAACTTTGTTTAGTCTTTAATATGGAATAATGTAATTTAAGCTTTATTTGCATAGGTATGGCTTGTACTTTTCAGCAACAGCCTCTTATAGTTGCCCGTTTATACGTCAATTAGACGACTTAATTAGACTAAAACACAATATTAAAATTCACCGACACAAAAAAAAAACAGTATAAAGCCCAAACATGGTATATATGCTGTAATTTTCTGAGGAGTTCGCTATCCCTCAGAATCCTTGAGGCAGCAGCAAGTTTTAGGTTACCATGTCGTGGAAATACCATCAAAGTAACAATATACCAAATTTCAGGTCAATCTCACCTGTGGATTTTAGTGAGATCCTTTCATCACCTAGGAAGTGAGCTGATGATTTTCAAAATTTATAGCTTAGAAGCATCTCGATCATATCGGCTTTCAAACAAAAAAGGTCCGTTAGGGAGCTAGGATGCCACAGACAGACAGATACACAAGTTTATCTTATAACTCCCCTCGGTTTCCGTTGGGGGTTAAAAATAATAGTTGTCAAATGAGAGTGTTCTCTTGCACTTAAAGAATTATACCCTACTCAATAGAAGGAACTACACAACGGATCTTTGGCCTAGTCTTGCCTAGCTTCTCATGGAGATATAAATAAGTTAGTATAATTAAATATTAGTACCTGGTGTTTAGTAACCTGCCAGTTATTCTTTGGTCCCTCCCTAGTCTCATACATACTGACCGGTCGCTGAGCCGTCTTGGGTAGCTTAGCGTCGGGCTCTTCTCTACTCAACTGTTCTGTTTCTAAGCTCTTGCCTCTCTCGGGACCTTTAGAAGTTTCTAGAACGTTACTCGTACTGTCGTTCATGGACATTTGTGACGTCATACTTTGGTCATCGTCAACACTACTGGTCGTTTTTAGAACGCTGTTTTCTTTCGTTAACTGCTCGACAATTGTCTGTAAGTTCTTGAGTTGGTTCTTCAGTTCGGTGATAGTGGAATCTTTAGTGTACAGTTGCTTCTTTAATGTTTCCACTTCGTCTTTTTGTTCGGGTACGACCGTGTGGGCGAGGCGGCTGGGTGATTGTGTTCGACGGAAGTCTGTGCTGAACGAGTCTGGTAGTGACGGGTTGTACGTGGAAGATACTGTCTCGCCTGCGCGTGGTACTATTGTCGATAACTGTGGAATAACATTCTTCATTTAATAAGTTTTACTTGAGGAAAAAAGGTAAAATAAATAAATAAATGGAATTCTAAATACTAATAGAGACAGGTATTTTTGTAGGCGACCTTTTAGGTAAAGGTTTGAAGGTAGTGTCAACCTGGAAATACCGCAGGTGACAATGTTGCGGGGGTTCTCTATCAGTACGTCTATCCGGTGGTCGAAGAATTACGGTCAAGAATTAGGGGTAATATGACAAAATCTCACGTCCAGGTCGATGGGCGCCAGAGCGGCGTAGTCCTCGTCAGAAGCCACGGAGTCGTAGAGCGGCTCGTCGTCCGAAAGCTGCGACACGTGGCGCAGGTGGCTCGCCGACAGCAGCGGGTGGGCTAGCGTCGTGAGCGCTAACAACAAAACATGTATAGGTAAGAACCTGCACAAGTTCCAAGACCTATCCTATCCCAGGAAGGATTTATTTTATTTTTGAACAATTATATTTGAGGTAAGTGTTCTGTATTGTTTAATTAATAACAAGGCAAAGTAACATTTTTTTTTCTTTTCCAGTAATACGTCTAAGCTATGGCATTCTTATTCACAACCACAGACTATAGACTCGCGCTCAACAGCCATACACAGATAATACAGGCCAACATAAAAATTTCACAAATTTTCTTTCCCAAAAACCAGAGTATACTTTCCCAAAGGATTTTGGCCCGCTGAATCAAAATCCAGCTGCAGAATTGCTTTATCACGTCAGGTTTTTCAGATATTCTAACCTAAAACCGCAAAAAACGCAAATTTGCCCATTTTTGAGGTTATCTAACATTTCAAATTTTATTATGCCTTAAAATTATTATAATAGACAGTACAGATAAGGAATAGTAAGTACAAATGTACGTAGATTAATAAATGAATAAGACCTTAACAAGAAATATTTTCTGAGTAGGGTCTGACCAGACTAGGTTGTGATATTTGACAGGCCGCGGCCTAGGGTCGATGTACGTAAGTTGTATTGTATACTATTCGAAGAGAGAATAAGTCTGTACTGGCTTTAAAACATTTAAAATAATAGTTAGGGTTCCGTACCTCAAAAGGTAAAAAAAATACCCTCATAAGATCACTCTCTTGTCTATATGTCCGTCTGTCTGTCCGTGTGTCACCACCGATTTTCTCAGGAACGGGTGGACCTAACAAGTTGAAATTTACACCAGATACTGAGGTCTATAGTGCCCATTATGTGTTATGTAAACAAGCATAATATTAAGGTAAATTTTGGTACTTAAAAGTTTTCGCGAAAATCTACGTAAAATCTGGGTAGGCAAGGAACACTCGGCGCACGAGTTCGACTCGCACTTGACCGGTTTTTTTCGATTCGAAAAGTTCCGACATGAATATATAGTTGTACGTATGTATACAATATATGTTTATATTATATATGGTTATATTATCAATGTATTTCAACCCAAATTTAACTCCGGGGCCAATATATGTAGATTATTATACACAGAGGTGTCGGTAACGGTAACAGTGTCGCGAGTTCAATGGTTTTTCCCATCTCAAAAATACGTTCTTTTGTTTGTTGTTCAAGAATGCCCAATGGGCCTAAAGAAGTTTTCACTTCGAAAAGTTTTGTGGAATGAAGTTGGCAAGAGAAGAGGACGACCAAAAAAGATTCACGGACTGTGTGTTAGAAGATATATCGAAAGGCTATAGGCTAGAAAACAAATTATCCATTATTAATAGAACATTCGAAAAATATCTCTTACACTACATGAATAAAGTTCAATTTTGAACAACCCAAACCGGCAACTAATTAAGTGGCCCACAGCTTCAACGTAAATATATATATGTAATTAACACGCCTACCTCTAGGTTGTAAAGTAGCTATATGTTGTCTCCTGGTGGCGTCAACTAGCACATCTCTGAGCAGCGTTGCCATCTCGGCGGTGGACAGCCGCGCCAGCTTCTGCCGGCCCTGGTTCCGCGGCGCCGACAGCGCAGGGTTCACCGGGAGAAACGCCACACCACTTCGCTCCAACCCGCTGGCACTTGTCTGCCAAACTAATAAAAAAAGAAATATTTGAAAATAAAAGCAGACTTAAACACTCCTAATATTGTCTAATCAAAGTGTCTACTATAGTCCACCAACGTCGAGCGCGACCGTCCTGCGGGGTGACAGACGGTGGCGGGGACGAGATACTCAAGATGTCAGCGGGTAGCGGGTTGTGTAGCGGGGAAGGGAAGCGCTTCTCTTCGTGTGTAGCCGTGTGCTAGAATGACGCGCTACCTCGCCCCCGCCACTGTCTGTCACCCCGCGGGACGGTCGCGCACGAGATTGCCGGGTTATAGTCAAAATCTAATCTATAGGTACTAATATTATAAATGCGAAAGTGTGTATGCTTCTTTGTCTTTCTGTCTGTTACCTCTTCACGCTTAAACTGCTGAACTGATTTAGATGAAATTTGGTATGAAGATGCCTTGATTCTTGAAGAAAGACATAGGCTACTTTTTACAGCGATAACTGACATATAATATAGGGGAATACATTTTTGCTAGGATATATTTTCAATCAAATAATATTATTTTATATTTTCGAAATTTCATTCAGAAACTTGTTTTTTAAATAAATAACAAGCCACGATAGGTCAAACGTGGCTTGTTGTTTATTTTATTATAGACAAGGGAGACACTTTCAATGACGAATTTTATAGTGTGACATTTTAACATTCGGGTTAAGTTTTGGAGTATTAAAAGTCTTCACAATAGATGAAACATTCACTTAATGGAGGGTATATTTTAGACTTCACACTCACTTGCTTCCGTTTCCCTGCGGTCTATTTCATCATATATATCCATAACTAGCTCTTCGAAAAGATGGTTCGGCAACTGAAAAAAAGATAAATCAATCATCAATGAAGAAAGAAATTAAATAAAAAATACTTTAGTATGGAATAAGGTAGAAAACGCAGTCAAAACTTTTTGCAATATGACACATAGCGTCGAACCCATGTAAATTTGGTCAAAACAACAGGAAAATTATGATGATAAATGAATATTATGATAAATAATAAAGAGACAAAAAATGGTTGATGCTTATAATTAACAACAACAACCAATGACTAATCAACACAATAACTTTCGGTTAGCAATAAAATTTGAAAACAATTTGTATTATTAATAACAATTAATATTTTTAGACTAATAATATTAAGGAAACTCCAATCGCTAAGTACTTCATTAAATCAGTATTTCGTGCTAATTTCAATCAATTATTACATAATAATATATTTATATATATTATTATTTTTCGGATACCTGTCACACAATGCCATCTAGTTTCAAACTAAGCAGAGCTTGTACTTAGAAAGCTAGATTGACTGATAGAATATTTATATATATATTTATAAATACCTACATATTATAGATAAAACACACAAAAACTTCAAAATAAATATTTGCATATCATACAAACATTTAGTCCGACCCGGGAATTAAACCTGAGACCTCGGCACAGCAGTCGCATATGCTACCACTGCAACACCAAGGCAGTCACATAGGCATACCTATGTAGATTTAGTGTCAAGAAATTGAAAAATTGTTTTCTGATACCTATTGAATGCAGATACAATCAACTTTGGCGCTCTTTGGAGGAACTTTAGACACAAAAGGAATAAATTGACAATAATTGTTTGTGAATTTAATAATATAGTACAGTTACAGTAGTTTACTGACCAACTGCAGCTTGCCCCGAGCAGCCTTGGCGACGTCGGTCATCTCGTGCGTGTCGTGCGCGCGCGGCACGATGTAGTGGCGGCCGCTGGCGTGGTCGGGCCGCTCGCCCGTCAGGAAGTAGATCATACGGTCCGTAGCTTCGTACACCAGCTCCATCATACGGTCCGCCAGCTCCGTGTGACCGCCTTGTCTAAGGGGAACACCGTTTTTTTTTTCTTTTTAAAGACAACGTCCGCAGTAGCAATATATCGTGTGTCGCGGGGGACTTTATAAACAAACATGAAACGGACACAAAGAACACCCAGATTGAGAACAACATTTTGTGGATCACACAAAGTGTTTTTCCCTGTGGGGATTGAACCCACAACACTCAGCGCAGTAGGAAGCGGCGAGGGGTCCGCTTAACCGCTACGCCATCCTTGCAGTAAAGTATTTATGTATGTAATTAAGAATATAAGTGTTAATTATTAGGGTTATCTCTAAATTGTTATAAATACAATAGAAATGAGAGTCAGTAATCTATACTAATATTATAAAGCTGAAGAGTTTGTTTGTTTGTTTGTTTGAACGCGCTAATCTCAGGAACTACTGGTCCGATTTGAAAAACTCTTTCAGTGTTAGATAGCCCATTTATCGAGGAAGGCTATTTACTATATATCATCACGGTAAGACCAATAGGAGCGGAGCACCAATGAAGAATGTTTCAAAAACGGAGAAAATTTATTACTATTGAGAGACGCTGACGAAGTTGTGCGGGTCAGCTAGTAATGTATAATTCAATGCACGATCAAAGGAATGACGTACAATATCCTATTTATTGACACACGTCATTAACATGAGACGACAACGAGTATGTTCGCCTACTTCCGAACAATAGATACTACGAAGTAAGCCAGAACATGTTATTTTATAGTTTGCTAGTTGTTTATCGGGAATCTACTCGATACACACACACACATACAGTCGCATATTTATCCCCTAAGGGAGTGTATACCCCTTTAGGCGGGCCCAATAGGCGGATTTAGCTTTAGATTTAGTCCCACTCACGTATTAATAATAATAATAACATCTGACACACAACGCCATCTAGTTTCAAACCAAGCAGAGCTTATACTATGAAAGCTAGATTGACTGATAGAATACTTATATATATATTTTTTGTAAATACATACATATATAGGAAGCACCCAAGCTCCAAAACAAATATTTGCAGATCATACAAACATTTGATCCAACTCGAGAATCGAACCCAAGACCTCAGCACAGGACATCTTATTTAGGGAGTAAGCTTATTTATTACCGTGAACCAGGCTCATCTATACTAATATTATAAACTAGCTGACCCGCGCAACTTCATCTGCGTCTCTCAATAGTAATAAATTTTCTCCGTTTTTTAAACATTCTTCATTGGTGCTCCGCTCCTATTAGTCTTAGCGTGACGATATATAACCTATAGCCTTCCTCGATAAATGGGCTATCTAACACTGAAAGAATTTTTCAAATCGGACCAGTAGTTCCTGAGATTAGCGCGTTCAAACAAACAAACAAACTCTTCAGCTTTATAATATTAGTATAGATGAGTGTCTGTCTATTACTCTGATTCTTAAGGGAAGACATAGGCTATTTTATACCGCGATAACCGACATATACAGAGCCGCGCGCAACAGCTAGTATATTTAAAAATAAACATTTATATATTCCTAAATACATACATATAGATAAATTAATTAATTGTCCGTGTGGTGACGGATTAAGAATACGGATTGTCACCATCCCTATTCATCCCGTGGGTGTCGTAAGAGACGACTAAGGAAGCAAACTCTGCCGGACAACAGCACTGCAAAGAGACGGATAACTTGACACAAACCCTATATCAACCCGTCTAGCCAGCGTGGTATAGTAGGCCAAAACCTCCTTTCTAAGGAGAGGCCTATGTCTAGCAGTGGACTGTTAAAGGCTGTTGATGTGATGATGTGATAAATTACACTAAGACACAGAACAAATGATCGCGGTCATCACACAATATCGGCCTGGATGGTAATCGACGATCACTGGTTTAATAGTCAGGATGACTTATCCGGCCCGGGCACGGGCCAGGCAGCGCAGGCGACTCAGGCGCCGGAGGTCGCAGAACGACCTCCGTCCTCCATAAGCGCAGGCCTGGGGGTGACAGGTGAGGCCATCTGTCACCCTAGCAGAAGCAGGCCGGGGTGGCGGCGAGCGCGTTGCGAAGCGCGCTCGCTTCCAGGGAGCACAGGGAACATGGGGTTCCCACACGGGGCGGGGGTCGTCTACTCGTCTGTAGATGACCCGAGGTATGTCGGGGCACCAGGGCCTTCCTTTCTAGGGTATACCTGGTTCCCCGGCTATTAGTACCCGGCGAAGGCGTGCGGTTTTAGTCGGTTCGAGTCCGACATGCCACCGACAGGTGGTATCCGAGGGGATTTCCGCACGAAAAAAAAAAAAAAAAAAAAAAAAAAAAGGATGACTTATCCGGCAGATAAATATAATTTAAACCTATTGTTTACCAACATACCATACCATTTGACATGCTAACGCTTGCCATATAACTCCTACGATAAATATTTGATATCCATACTTATTTCATAAATGTTAAAGTGAGTTTGTTTGTTTGTTACGCTTACACGCCTTAACCACTAAATCGTTTTTTTTCACCATTGGAAAGCTACATTATCAGTCGGTAACTTAGGCTAACAGCAAGTAAATCTTTTCAGATATTTTTACAAGTCTGACTTAACAGCTAGAAGGCGAATTTCCTAAGACTCACTCTAGGTCGCTATCTGGGACGGAATCTAACGCCTAAAGAAACCATAGAGATGTCTTTGTTTTAAGTCCGTGTACAATGTAAAAGGGAACTATGTGAGTGCCGTATAGGATCTGGGTTGGTCTTTTGAAGAAAGGACCATAATTTTAAGCCAGCCTGTCCATACAGACGACATACAGGCCCTAGCCATCATGTAGCTAATCGATATAGTCAGGATCAATAATCCGAAACAAGACACTACCGCCAGCAGGACATTTGAGTAGGCCGTGCAAACACTCAAAATCACCAGAAACTTTCTAAAATATGAACTAACGATACAAGCCTACACTAAACTCACATTTGTATACTTACACCAAAAAAAAAAAAACTAACAAAACTTTACCGACCAACAAGTGGCCATAAGCTAGTCACCGATTTTTTTTTCGATTTCGTTTTTTGAAAACCTGTAGAAGCTTTTCCCGCTTTGCCCATATATCCTTCTATTCCTGTAATAATTTTATCTTTATCGACTGGCTGACCTAATATATTTACCATACATCTTAACCCTTATTATTTTTATATTCACTGCTGGACATAGTCACAATACATAGGTATATATTAATAATACTAATAGTATTGTTTTTAAAGGAAAATTATGCAAATTACATTACACATTACACAATAAATAGATTTTGTAAAATTTTGTAAACTATCCAAGTTATACATATATTACAACTTTTTCAATCTTGCATCTATCTATTGAAGAGTCAACCTTTGTTACAAATGGCCCGGCTCGATCGGAGTTCGCTACATTACCTCTCTCCCCCTAATCCTAAGGACGGTGGTGGTAGTCACTTACCATTAGGTGACCCGTATGCTCGTTTGCCCTCATTTTATATTTTAAAAAAACCTTTAATGTTCAATTTCTTTACTGTTTGTAAAATTTTATGAAGATTAGTTGAGAAACTCCCATTTGCATTTTTAGAATCAGTTAATATAATTTGCATTTGCACTGTGGGTGTTGAAAAGACCTTGTCTAAACCATATTGATAAGCAACACATGAAGGTCATGACGATTAATTATATAAGTTTCTTATGTGGGTAGAAAACAATATTACTTTTATCATTGAATGACACTGTGTAAGAAAGAAAGAAAATAAGTTTACTACCTTGTTTTGAATTAAAGATTGTCAATAGTTGGAAATAACGTCAGACTTTTCCTATGGCTACACTTCAGAATATTTCATTTATTTGTTTTGAAAAGATAACTTGCGCATCAGGAATATATCCTGTGACTTTACAAACATACATAAAACGGACACAGAATACCCAGACTCAGAACAACAATTTGTGGATCACACAAAGTTTCATCAAATGTGGGGATCGGACCCACAACACTCAGCGTAGTAGTGAGTAGTAAATGCAATTATTGCAAACCTGGCACAATCAGCTGGTGTATTACCGCCAGCATCTCGCGTTGTGGGATCTGCACCCCACGCCACCAACAGCTCGGCCTGTGCTGGCTGCCCAGCCCGACATGCCACATGTAAACACATGGAGCCTTTCTCCTATAAATGTATTAAAACTTTTCAGTCCATTTTGTTAAGGAAAAACTTAATTATTAATAAATTTATTCATTTATTTTTACAGAAATTATTTCTTAAGGACAAGTTTTAAATATCTTATTAGTTGAATAAGGATAATTTCGTCTAAATGTTACTTTATTAAAACAACAATGTATAAATTTACACAATGATCACATTTTTAGATATAAGAATACTACCAAGCTAAAATTCCTTCAGACTGTACCTGATTGTAATAATTAGGATCAGCTCCTTGTGCCAAAAGTCTCATAGCAGTATCCAGGGATGAACTCCTCACAGCACTGTGTAGTTGTCTCCCAAGCTCACTTGGAGGCTCATCTCGCCTCGCCCTCAGCACATATGCTAGCCTTAAGTGTTTTGCCAGGATAAACTCTGACTTTACTGGACTAAAAAATTGAAGAAGGTACATAAATTGAAAGGTATATGGAAAAAAAATTGTTTGAATGTCATAATCTCTAAGTGCATGTTGTATGTTGAGGTTGTATTATAAATGACAAAAGGCATTCAATAAGGTTGACTCAAATGTAGCACATTACTTTTATTATTTAACCACCAAGGCAAAAAACAGATGTTATATTTTACAGCATTAAGTTTTGAGAGTTATAAGTTGTAAGTCCGTCTGTACATAATCACAGTCCTATACAGATTAACCAATTTTGATTGAATTAAAATTAGTTTATCAACACCTGTGAGTGATCCTCACAGACATTTTAATGTTAATACATTTTCTTTTCTTTTTTAAATCTATACTTCCATTGTCCATACATGTCTATAAAAATATAAACTAAAGCAGTATACAATACAGATATAAACAATTAAAATAAAGTTCTTAACTTAAAATTTAATCCTCCATATTTGTTTTTTGGAGTTTATGTTTTCTATGTATAATATTGTGTTAGTGTTGACAAAAACAAATAACAGTGACACTTTGGGAGTGACACACTCAAGTTGAAAACCAATATACAGAGTTGTCGGTAACTGTAGGTATCACGAGTTTAATTTTTATCCAATCCAATCCAAATTATATTCAATGTTTTTTTCTCATAAAATACATTCTTTTGGTTGTTTTTCAAAAATGCCAAACACACCTAAAGAAGTTTTCACTTCAAAAATAGTGAGTATATAAGTTTTTACTTCTGTCGGCACTCCTGCCACTGTTTTTTTTTATTATTGAAAGTATATAGTATGCTAGTCACATAAATATTTTTGTTTACAATTGATAAAATATGTTGTGTTGATAACTGTTGTTACAGAAAATTTAGGCAAACACAAAGTGTAAATTACGGTTACTTTATCTGACGTAATAGATATGATGATAACTAATAAGATAGAAAACAACTTAGGTGATAACTAAATGAGTAACTAAATACAATTCTTACTGTAAAGGATCTTTCGGTTGTGGTTTCTTACGAAGGTGCTTCGGTGCTGATGTGTCCAGTAAGGAATGTTCCCAGATGCTGTTCACATTCTGAGCTGTCAGGGCTTGCACCATCTACATATGACAACAGTTGAGAATCTGATTTTTGTTTCTTGTTGTATTATTACCATTTTAATTTTGAAATTTATGGGCAAAAATAAATTATGCATTTAGATTTTTTGGGAATAATAAATTACTTAGACAGATTGATACAAAGTACAGTTTAAAAGTGTTTTAACAGTTGTTGTACAAATTGCATTTTACCATTGAATTTGATAATCATTATTTATATAATGTTGATGTCTTTTAAAAATAATATTTAAGAAAAAATATATATATGTATGTAAAGACAAAAACTCTTTCAAATAATTCTAATTTGACTTTGACATGATTACTGGAGTTCACAAGTATATCATGTTAGTGTCACTACTCATCGTTTAATTAAAGCCAATCAAAGTGACAAATTAGCAGAAGTATGTTTGTTATCAGAGTCCTCCTATATAGGTCACAGTGGCCACTCTTACTTATAAGTATAGCATAGTAGGTACTCACAGCTAATAGTGATGGAGGCCACGAACCCTGACGCAGTGACTTTACATGAGAAATGTGCCGTCCCATGCTACGATGGACACTACAGCATTCAGCACACAGCAGCAACCCACGGTTGATTGATGCCCATGAGGGATCTACACACACAGTACAACGCTAATATCACACAGCCATTACCACTGAACTAAATTTACTAAAACTGGAACATTACTGACCTGATGCACCGCAGTCGGCGCAAACCTCAACCGAGGAGCGGTGTTTAGACCGCGATATTATCATTTTATCAACACTTATGGAAGACCACCTATTAAGTAGAATATTTTGTACGTCTCAATCTATTTATTTAGCTAATTTAAAGATCAGGTTTTCAATACAAAAATAAATCATTTTACGAAACGTCAATCAAAATAAATTGACAGACACCACAGACGATGCTAAAAATTTTGTTCAGAATAGCCAACCGCAAGAAAATGACAAGTTCTGAAATTCGTGAGCAAAAAGACAAACACAACACACAACACAATTAGTGAAAATAGTCGATTCCACACGTTGACTGTCAGAATTTTAACATTCTGTGGTAAATTAATAGTTAGTTCACGACCACGTCATTGAAGTTATCAAGCAGGGGACGTCATTTATTAGTTCTTGGAGCGGCTAATTTGTTAAAATGAAGTTTTCAATACTTATAGGAATTATAGCTTACTTTTCACTAGCCTTAGCTGAACAAGAAACTTTGGTTCTTGTAGATAATCTTAATATAAAGGAAACACATTCACAATTCTTCAAATCTTTGCAAGGTGAGGTCTCTGTAGGTAGACGACGCCGGTAAATTTGCTGCAGGTTGTACACTCAAATTGAAGAAGTTGCTGCGGATATTTACATTCATTGTTTTATATTTGCAGATAGAGGATACACCCTTACATTCAGACTAGCTGATGATGCTAACCTAGTCTTATCAAAGTATGGCGAATATTTGTATAAGAATCTTATCGTGTTCGCACCCTCCGTACTGGAGTTCGGTGGTCAAATCGACACTGAAGCTATTACCAAGTTTATTGACGATGGCGGTAATTTGCTGATGGCCGGCAATGCGGCCGCTGGTGATGTGTACAGGGAAATCGCTTCAGAATGCGGATTTGAGGTAACTATGCAGTTACATCAGATCTATCAGTCAAAAATATAATTCGAAAGTTAGAAATAAATTGATAAAAGTGCTAAACAAATTTTCAAGAATAATATTTTATGTAAAAACTTGAGAATGTTAATCTGTTAAGTTTCTGATTGGAATTGGTCACATAGTTCTGAATTTAGAATATAATCTTCTAAAATAATAAATTCTATTCTAATTTTGAATATTTGTTTGTAATGCTACAATATGCATTCAAATATATGATGTCAAAGTATAGCAACCATCATTTAAAAACACTAAATGTTGAAAGGCTTGGAAATAGTTATCAGAAATACTCATTTGAGGTGCAAATGAGTAGTAGTAGAGTAGTGTAGGTACACTATAATACAGCATCAGGGTTCATGTGTGTTTTAATTTTATTTACTCTATTGACCTGAATCCCTAGATAGATGGCTTTTTAGATTATTCTTAGAATCCATACATTGTCTTGATCAAAATTGTGGTAATTTTTATTTTTAATTGGTAAATTATACTCCTTTTACAGATGGATGAAGAATCAGCAGCTGTCATTGACCATTTCAACTATGATGCCTCTGATGATGGTGAACACACCAGGATTGTGGTATCTCCCAAGAACCTGATCTCTGCTCCCACCATTGTTGGTGAACAGAACACACAGCCTCTTCTGTTTGAAGGCACTGGACTTATTTTGGATAAGGACAATAATCTCGTGCTGCCTATTCTCATTGCTGATTCAACTGCTTACAGCTACAATCCTAAAAGCCAAGTATGTTTTTTTCTAATTTTCTCAATAAGTGCAATGATAATTGACGAGCCTGTTGATCTAGTGGAAGTGACCCTGACTGTTGAGGCAGAGTTTGTGGGTTCGATTCCCACCCAGGACAAATAATAGTGTGATGAACACAGTCATTTGTTCTGTGTCTGGGTGTAATTTATCTATAATATGTATGTATTTAGAAATATTTAAGTAAGTTTATCAGAAGTCTGGTTATCATAGCACAGTCTCAGTCTTGTTTGTTATCAGACTACCGTGTGTGAGATTTGAAAGATTTTACATTATTATTACTATAGATACAGGTATGCAAATTTAACATGTCATAATAGAATTTTTTTGTTGACTGGTCTTATAAGTTTTTTTTTACTGAAAAGGTGAAGGAGTACCCACATGCGGTTGGCCGCAAGACAGTGCTAATAGCAGCCCTGCAAGCAAGAAACAATGCTCGTATTGTCTTCAGTGGGTCTCTATTCTTCTTCTCTGATGAAGCCTTCAACTCTGGTGTTGCTAAAGTTCATGTAAGTGTTTATTTTGATTTACACAACAAATATTTGTGTGTTTTGTGTCTGGGTGTAATACGTCTATAATAAAAATATGTATGTATTTAAAATATCAGCAGTCTGGTTACCATAGTTCAGAGAGTGTCGGTGTGTGTGTGAGGTTATTATTATTGGAATGACGTTCCTTATTGCACGTTGCATGCTCTGATCGGGCACTGGGGAGCTACTGGAAAATGTGGAACAAGACTTTTTTCCAATACCATAGCAAACTTCTACCAAAAAGCGAAATGAACTTCGTTTCGACTGGGGTCAGTTTTATAATTTTTTTGTCTTCCTTTACCTTTGTTAGGCTTTATCACTAATTAAGTATATGTTTGATTTCTTGCAGGGTGACAAAGTGACATCAAACCAGTCAGGCAATAAGGCCCTATCACAGCATCTGTCTGCATGGGCATTTGGTGAGCGTGGCAGACTGCGCGTACGTAACGTAGACCATCACAAGGAGGGAGAGAAGGAGTCCTCCAATACTTACACTATCACTGACTCTGTAGTGAGTATACAAATTTTATAGACACCACAATAACATAGCCAGTCCTGCCTTAGGAGAGCCAATGGGCTGGCTCGACAGGAGTGATACAGCCTTTTTATTTTGTTGCGGTTGACAGTTTTGTCTATAATAGTGTCAAACAACTAGCCTTTTGCAGTCCAATGCTAGACAAAGGCTGCACTCAATCTGCACCATAGCACCCAGTCTTTCACTTTCTGCATCCAAGACAACCAAGATGCCCTCAGATTATATTATCAGTCATCTAATAACAGATAAGAAGAATGAAAAAAATTATTTAAATAAATATAAATTAAGCTGCAGCTTGATGGCAGATGGCGTAATGGTTTCAGCGGTCGCCACGCCACTCACTACTCTCAACAAAATTAGCACATAGTTCATTAGACACCTCAAAATAAAATTTATCTTATAGGTCTACAGAATTGAAATTGAAGAACTCAAGAATGGTAAATGGCAGCCATTTGAAGCCACTGATGTACAGCTAGAGTTTGTACGCATTGATCCGTTCATCCGCCAGACTCTGCAGAAGAAACCCAATGGTGTATATGAAGCAGTGTTTAAGGTCCCTGATGTGTGGGGAGTCTACCAGTTCAAGGTTGACTATGACAGAGTTGGATACACAAGGCTATATCATTCTACTCAGGTAAAGGACAACAAACACTTGTCCGATCTTTTTTAAATACCAATTTGTGTGATCCATACACTAGGTTTTTCTTGAACCTGATCATATAATTATATTGTACTTTAAACTGACACAAAATCAACTATAGTCCATTCGCGTTAAGATCAAGCGATCAACTTGTGCAACCTGACCAATCAGGTTCCAAGCTTGGTCAAGGGTGAGGGCTTGATCAATGCGTCCCTATTTTCTTAACGCTAATGGACTATAGGTTTACATAAATGAACAATGTGAGGTCATCACTATAGAATCTAAAAGTTCTATTAGACTCCTAAGAGAGGTAAATTTTAAGGAATTATTAAATAAAACGGTAATATAAATATTTTAATGAACTATAATGTATAAAAAATATTTTTTTCAGGTATCTGTCCGTCCTCTGCAACACACACAGTATGAGCGGTTCATTCCAAGTGCTTACCCATACTACGTCAGCTCCTTCTCCATGATGATTGGAGTGTTCCTCTTCTCATTCGTATTCCTCTATTACAAGGAAGATGTACCTAAGACTAAGAGTGAATAAGTCATACCTTTTATTTACTAGGTATAATGACACCGGAACACAAATATTACTTTATATTAATATTGCAGTAAAATAATAAATCTAATATATAAATTTATATTTTTCTTATTATTATTATTTCTGTTAAATGCTTGATTAGGTAATAGTTGTGTTCAAGTTTCATACAACCCTTTTAATAATAGCACAGATGTATGTATGAATGTGAAATACATTGTTAGAAGTGTGTTTTAGTAACAAAATATACATTATAATGTAAGTTGTTGTTATTTTATTTGTGTAGTTATAGCAGTACCCTCTAAAAAACAAAATCGAAAGTTAGTATTCTAGGGTTAAAAAATACCAATTCCCGATTTTACTCTACAACAAAAGATAAACTGGAAATCAGAAGCTAGCTTGTCAGCCAATAGGATCCTTTTTTGCCATCACTAGGTACCATAGCATAGTGTACCATCAAATAAACCTAAATCTAACTATAGCTTTGGCTAATCTGTGCTATCTGTTGTAGATAGGAAACTGTCGGCATTAAACTTCACCGGGAAGTACTAGCCAAGCTATAACCATATACCATGCACGACTAATAACTTAATACATCAAAAAAAGATGCTAGCCTTGTACAACGAAAACTAAGGTTTATGAATCAAAATCATCAGAATAAATAAATGACTAGCTCTAAAAATAACTGTCTATGTAGGCAGTTATTTTTTAAACAGTCACACGTATAATTTTATTGGGATGTAATTTCATCAGTTCTTTTTTTACAATGTATAGACTGAACGCACAATCTCAATGCAGTGCCCATTCACTGTGTGTTGTATTGCAAACAAAATGAAGTTGTAGTTTGGATAGAACCATGTACTTAAACAACGGTGTTTCATCTGCATTTGCTGGAAAAACAAGTTTTTCATCCAGTTACTATAAAATCAATCTTATAAAGCAGATAAAAATAATAATTAAAAAAACTGTTACTTAATCTTAAATTTCATAAAAAAAGTATCACTAAAATTGAACGCTTCTAAATGGTATAAGTTGACATTCCAACAGGCTGTTCTTGAACGAACGCAACGGTTTTAAATGGCAATGGCATGCATGTCATACATAGCTTTTATAAAAATTAATTTTAGTAAAAATGGATTAAATTACGTTTCTCGCTTTATTAAATCTTTATAGTTAAAAATAAGATCTGAAAACTGTGCCGAACAATCCATAATCTTACGCTGTTATTGTGAATTTAACGTATAATCAATGTGAATCGTGTAGGTAGTGAATTGGTGTCGCCGTATTTGTTAAGAAAATTGCACATTTCTAAGTTTCTTTTGCATTTAACTGTCGCTTGGCATCACCGTGATATTGTGCTGGGCTTGATGACCGATAAGTAGGTGATAGTGGTCGTTGCAGTGATGTGTTTACATTTGTAACTGTCCCAGTAAGTATGCTATGATGTCATTGTAGTGCTACCATAAAAAACCGTGTTGGCTTTGTGCCCACCCGTTTTCCTACTATTCGTGACTCCAATACATTTTTGAGGAAACAGGCATGTAAGATAAGCACAACGAACCTTAGGTTATATGTGACCTGTTTTAAATTTTATGTTAATTAGTTTTGTTTTCACACTGATATTGGGTTGTTTTTCCCTAATAAATGTGTAGTGATTATATTGTTCAATATTATGAAAATTGCCACATAATTTATATATTTTTAATACAATTATAGTGTCAACCTGTACAAGGCTACTATATGTGAGCTAACTTTAGTTTTACAATGTTGCTCTGTAGGCTTCAAAGGTACCATTTTACTATTAAAGCTTGTAAAGTAAACTAATTTGGAATATAGTTTTGTGTAAATTTGTATTTATACTTATGATAAATGATATTTATTTTTGAAATTAAGTCTTTTTAGATATTTTCATAAGTCAGTATGAATTTATGTTTATAAACAATAAGGTGTAGTATGGTTAGTAAAATTTATTACCATAAACAAATAAATGGAGCTGTATCTACAGCTGATTACAGTAAACAAAACACAAAAGATTAATTTATTGTTTTAGTGGAAAACTTGTGATGAACATTATTATTATTTAACTTGTTAGTAAAGTGTCTGTAATAATCATGTGTTTTGTGTCCTTATTATTATTCATAAATTGGTTCTAAAGTTTGTTAATCAAGTCAATAATTTTTTTTAAGCTGCAGTCAGACATTTAAATATAGAATTGCAATTCAGTGTTTCTAGATATGGGTAAACAATTTTCTAATAAGAAGTATTGATAGTGTTATAGAAAATTTAATACTAACTTTTAAAGTCTCACATCAAATCATCATTATCATTATGACAAATATATGATTATTAAAACAAGCATCACTGTGTTAATGCTATCAAAATAATATTGTATAGTTTTAAATACCATGAAGTTTCAACCACATTACTCTGGCTGTAATGACTCGTCAAGTTTACTTCAAAAAAGTTATTTAGCTTAAAACCAATAATTCAAACATATTTATTATATATACTATCACAGGGTACACAGTTGAAAGAAAAAACAATAAATATGCCAAGTTCAGTGATAATTATGTTTCTTCTTTTTTAGTTACGAGCGTTTGCTTGTAACTCATTGAGTGCCCCACCCATATTGCTCGTAGATAACCTCATTAATGCATCTTCAATAAGTCTGTGATAATGAGACATGTGTCCAAGTTATTGGTGCTGAACTCAGCAATTAATTCAAGGTTATATCGGACACAAGTTTTTATTGTATTGTTAATTTCAACATATTTTATTTACAATTTAAATATGTTATCTCGATGTTTAAGTCATTAGAGTATGGTTTGAAAAGTTTAATTGTTAATTATACCTTGTCCCAGTACTTCAATACATACATTTTAGTCATTACACTATCAAAGCAAAGCACCAAATATTTTTCTAACCATTTTTTTTCTAACCATAAAGAAATTTTATTGCAATTCTATCTTATATACTTATATGTATGCTTCAAAGATTCAAAAACCTATCTGTACCAATTCAGCTCAAATTTTGACAACAATATACAAACTGCCTTGAAGATTGTTTTTATCTATTTTTTGCATCAATTTTGATCCTCATTTCTAATGTATGAAACCAAAATGTGCCACAGCAAAGCTTAGCATGGTACAGCTAGTTTTAAATTGATTGAGTTTTCTTAATAATTTACCTGGATTTGTACAATAAAACATAATAAAGTTTATTCTAATTTTAAACATGACTACAATTATTTATTTATAAATAATGACCAAAGTATGGGAAGTGCATATAGGTCAGATTAATTTTCCTGTCACACAAAAATAATAATATTAACTGTGTCAGTAAATTTATAAAGGAAGTTAATAATTTTGAAAATAACAAATATAGTCTCTGTTTTTTTATTGTATCCTTTTTGGAGCCTTCACCAATTTATTACAAAACATTTTTTTGGTTGAATTAAGGTTAAACATTCATTTGCTCCTAATTTCAGTAATAAGACAGTTTTTTTTTATAATTTGAGCTTAACAGTCCATAAACAATAATAGTTATAATTTGTGTCATAAATAATTCATAACAATGCTTTAGACCTCATCATTCTGTTTTTTATTTCTTAGGGTGTGAAGTGTTTGTGCGGAGATGGATCCGTCACGACGCCAGCGCACACAAACCAAGGCTACGGCCGAGGAGCAGGCGCTCGATCAAATAGCCAGAGAGGTAAGTGTCATCAAAAATGTAGTCCATATATTATAAAACTTTTTTTGATGTACTATATAGTACTACGGTCATACATATAGTGAACGTCTTCTGCAGGATTTTTTCGGATGTTTTTTTTTAAATCATCTCTTTCATAATTTTTTGTCTACAGAATGTATATATTGTATAGTGCAATGTTATATTAACAATTTTATCGACTAATTTCCTACAAATACAATGATATAACTGGTTTTTTATACAATGAATCTTAGCTTTTTTTTGTTAAGTACGATAAATGGATAATACAAAATACCTCTTTATTATAAACCATAGTGTATCTTCTGTTTTTCTGAAAGACATCATAGACTGTGATCAGCAGTACAGTGGGGTTTGTAATGTGTAATAAGTATATTCTATCTATCTTTACTTTAAGAGGTAGATTAAAATGAGGTGAGTCATCTTTCTGTGTTTAATACCTGATTTAATATGACCCAATTACCTACCATAGGCAAGGACGAGTGTAAGCCGAAATAAACTAGAATCCTTGTGGGTTATGACATTTACTGTTGGAAGCAACTATACAATACTTTTGTTTACCTGTTTTTGTATAAACACTTTCGGATCACGTTTTATTTTTGCAATTTTTGATATTGGTCAATATCAAAAGTTTGTTCAAGCGTCATAATATTGTGACTGGACTATCGAATGTTATATTATAAATATAAAAGTGCGTTTGTTTGTTATGTTTTCACGCTTAAACCACTCAACCGATTTTAAAAATTCTATCACCAATTGATAGCGACATTATAAGCCATTAACATAGGTTACCTATTACCGCCATAACCCACATACACGCTTACGGAGTCGCGGGCAAAAGCTAGTTATTATATAAGGGTAAATGTATTAGAACGTGGTGTGTAAAGGTCAGTCACTCGAGGTATAAACGTAAACAGTATTAAAGAACTTACTACTTAGATAGGTAAGCTATATATTTTTTTTATGGCAATAATCGTACACCTTGACATAAAAAGTGTAACATACGTGGATTGCCTCTCTTAACTCTATTAGTTGACATTAGCGTCGCTACGTGATAATTATAATTAACCCTGTGCCATTGCTAAGCTAATTAGAATTTAAGGCTACTTGTCTTTAAAGGTCAAAGTGGGTTAATGCTAATTTCGTCAATCTTTGACCCAAATTGAAAGTAATGTGTTGCTAGGGAAATAAAAGTTTAGGTTAAATAGTAGAATAAGTGGCAATACCCCTAAGTCTGCAAGACACTAAACAACGAAGTGATTTAGTAATCAGTGTTACAC